TCATACCCCAGGATTCCATAGCATTGAGCCATGGCAGTTTGCGGGCCAAAACACATAGCAGAAATAATCCAGTTTGAGACCACTTTAACCGCCCTGGCTTAGTGCTATGGAATTCTGGGAATTACAATTTGTTCTGCCATCAGAGCTCTCTGACAGAGAAGGCTAAATGTCTCACAAAACTTCAATTCCCAGAATTCTATAGCATTGAGCCAGGGGAGTTAAACCACATTATTTCTCAGCATATAATTAAATATTGTTTTTGTAATTAATCACTATGTTTAAATTATGTTTGATTTGTAGCAATGGCAATACATAATGCATATCAGGTATTCACATTCCGAATCATAACTGTAGCAAAATTACAGTTTTGAAGTAGCCACCAAAATTTTTTTTTGGTTTGGGGTCACCACAACATGAGGAACTGTATTGCGGGTTCACGGCATTAGAAAGGTTGAGAACCACTGGTCTAGTGTGAAAGGACCTCAGGTCCCATTAATGGAATTTATTCATGATTAACTTGCTCTGGATCGAACCCAAAGGAACTTCTCATAAAGATTATGTTCCAGACTCCTTTGGGACAACTACTGCCTCACAACAACCTGACATTTCAGATTATATGTAGCACTTTCCCCCGCAGATGAACCTGCAGTAGCACCTGCTCAAAAATATTTGTCAAGAAGAATCAAATGAAAAGTTTGCCTTCTTAAGTAGTACGATTACCTGGATGTCTTTTTTTATGATGGGCTTCACTTGCTGCGATACAATCCGTATTTCACTATATCCACTGTTGAAATAACCATTCTTGACTTTCCCCAGGGATCCATACTGCTGAGGGTTGGATGCTTTCAGAAGGGCTTTGGGTTTTACTTTGACGGTGGTGGGAGATACTTCAGGAATACTGCACAAGTGTACCGTAAGACAGATCAGGAACACAAGAGCTGCATAGAAAAACATCACTTGGAACTCTGAGCCCAAATATGTTCCCAAGACAGTATGGCCCCAATCAATGGCACCCGTAAGATAGCCAAGGGCCCCGCCCAGACCTAAAAAGAAAAGGAGACATTCTATTGACATAAAAAAGACAGTAAATGTCTATTTAGCACAAACTTATATCTAGTGATTGCCACATTTAAAGATTAAACCACCTTTTTGTTTCTTTTATTTCTGCATCTGGCCCATCTTTCTTGAAGATCTCAATAGTAGATTTAATAGCTAATAGAGCTGAAATAATAGATGACCCTATGTTAACAAGATATAGTCTTTGAGACTAACCAAAAGAAAGAAGTTGGCAGCATGAGCTTTTGTAGAGTTGGGGGGATGCAGACGGGTGGCCCGGGGCCGCCCCAGGAAACGGAGGATCGGGGCTGAGGCTGCCGGATGCGTCGGCCCCAATCCTCCCTTTTACCAGCCCAGAAAAGAGAGGCGAAATGCTGCTCCTTTCAGTGCCAGCAAAAGGGCGCCCTAAGAGCTGCCGCATGGCTCTTTGGTGCCCCTTCTGGTGCAGTATGTCAAAAGGCTGCACCGGAAGGACGTCCTGATGCTGCACGCCATGCGTAACAGCACGTGGCATCAGGACGTCTTCAGGGACGAGTTGACACGGCCAGTGAGCGGCTGCCCCTTCCCTCCCCTGCCTGCAGGATGGCCCAAAGGGATCATCTATAGAGGCCCTTAGTCTCAAAGGTGCTACAAGATCTCTCTGCATGACTATTTTAACAATACATAGATAAAACAACAATTTCAAATAGATGAAAGAGATAGCACTCCCTTTAATAGCAAACTCAGGTGAAGAAAGCCAAAAGGATTGTAGTCAAAACAGGACTACTGAATATCAAGATATAGGTATCGGGGGGGGGGGGGAAGTTATGGGGAGGAATGTGAAGGAAGCAAAAAGCAGAATGGGTGACTGGGGATTTCTGTGTAGCCAGAGTACAAGAACAACAGAGAATTTAGAAGAGAAGAGAGGAAGAGGGGAATGTCCTGTTCAGGCATCTTGGGTCCAGGCTATCTACTGACAGCTCCATCATTCACTCGCTCGCTCACTCAGGCACCTTGGTTCTAGGCTATCTACTGATAGCCCCATAATTCGCTCACTCGCTCACTCACTCGTGCAGAGATCTGTAATGTATGTATGCAGATCTCTGCATGAGTGAGTAAGTGAGTGAATGGTCAAAGTCACCAGGGACAGGGAATGTGACATTTCCATGTGAGTGAGTAAGTGAGCCAGCAAATGATGGGGGAAAGAGAGGATTAGGGGAAGGAGGAATGCATGCAGTCCATCACTAAAATAAAACCAAAGACACCACAATGTTAATGAGGTAAGGGGGAAGGACTGGAGGAGGGAAGAGTAAAAACAGTAAAGACAAATGTGACACTTGGGCTAGGAGAAGGAAGAGAGAGAGGGTGGCCTGATCTCACTGCAGATCTCATGGCTGAACATTTTAATAAATAAAATAAAATTGTATTTATTTATTTGTCCTTCTTGTGTGTACATGTGTGGGTGTGTACATTTTAAATTCCCTCATTCACTCACTGGGGCAGCAAAGAGGGGAAGGAGATTGGATGGGGAGGTATCCAGAGTGCAAGATGATCTAGATTGTTAGGCAAACAATAACAGCTATTGGTTGATAGGTTGATGCATGCTGAAAAGGCAAAGTGCAGCAGAGAAGACACAACCACGTGGCAGAAAATAATGCAAAGGAGAGGACTTGTGGACTGTCCCCTTGCACCAAAGTGAGTTTGCCAAGGGGAAAGGTGTGTCTGGTTAGTCCAACAACACTTTGCTTTGTCTGTTAGTGTCTGGGATTAACAGGGTCACTGTGTGGTCATTCAGGACCAAGAAAATGTGAGACAATGTCCATTATTTTTTGATCAGTGTAGGCAAGCCCTCTGTGTACAGGAAGCATTAGGAAATAAGAAACACTAAAGTGTGACTCTCATAAAGAGTGGCCTTGCTTTTAATTAGTCAGGCTACTCTAAAATACTGGTTACAATTTAGGAATGTGTCCATCATAAACACAACATGTCTTCTGCAACAGCTTATATCCCTGGGAAATGATAAATGCAGGGAGTACTGTGATTTCTGACAGCTACTAGAACAGACAGACAAATCCTGTAACTAGCTGAATGAGTAACATCTGAGATGTCCTCTTGACAGAACCCACATGCCAGGTGGTTTTGATGTTACTGCCCCTGGGTTTGCAATGCAGCACAAAATCCTCTTTGTCTTGTGGTGGTGTGATCAGTAGGCATTCTGATCACGTGCAATTTCCTTCCATCTCTTAAGACCTATGTTAGCCTGACATGAAAGATTAGTCTGGAGGTCAGTGGACGATAATTCTTGGAGCACAAGAGCTGCTAGTTTTGAAGGAGGGAAAAGCCTGAATTTAGAATTGAGGGGAAAGAACAGCGTTTAAACAATAAATTCCAAGTGGGAAACAGTAATGCTTTTTGTTTCATGACGAAAAATAAACTCTTTTCAGAATTTTAAATTGATCTTCTAATATTTCACCAAAGCCCATGTAGCCAGAAGCAAGGAGTACTCTGAGGTGGCTTTGCCAGTTCCTTCCTCAGAAATATAGCCCACAGCACCTAGCATTTGTTGATGGCCATCCAAGTACTAACCAGGGCTCATCCTGTTTAGCTTCCAAGATCAGACAGGATCTGGTGACTTTAGGATATTTAGGTTCTATCCCACCAGCATTTAATATATTAACAGCAAAATGCCTGTCACAGTGCTGTTCAAGATGAGACCATAAAGCAGGGATAGGAATCATGTGGCCCTTCTAATGTTGTTGGACTGCAACTCCCAACATTCCTGATCACTGGCCACATTGTCTAGGGCTTTTAGGACTTGAAGTCTAACAATATCTGAAAGGAAACATGATCCCTACCTAAGGTGTGGCCAATGGTGTCAGTAGGGGAT